GCACCAAGGACAAGAGGGGCGTACACGGTGTGGGCATAGCGATCAAGGAGGCCATGTGGGAGAGTGTGGGCGAGGAAGGTAGGACGGTGGAGTGCATTAGCCCGAGGCTGATGAAGGTGCGTCTACAAATTGGCCGCACCTGCGGAGTAACTTTCGTAGTGGGGTACGCCCCCACGTAAACTGTCCGCATCGCCGCGGGCGGTGATGTCAATGCCAAGGACTCCTTCTGGACTGCTCTCGACGCAGAGATCCGGGAGGTCCATAGCCGTGACCATCTCGTGGTACTAATGGACGCCAACGCACGTACTGGCAGGAGGCGAGACGGATGCTGCGATGCCAAGATTATGGGCGCGTACGGACGCGACATTATGAACAACAACGGGGAACGACTCCTTGGACTGGCATCAGACAACCAACTCTCCCTGACCAACACCTACTTCCGGACACCGAAAGGTGGAGTGCAGCACACATTCCAGAGCTCCAACAAGGGCAAGGAGAAGTACCGCCTAGACTTCATCCTCATGCATGGACGGACCGGCGTTTGGTGCGTATTGTCTCCGTCAAACGTGACGACTTCAAGGACTCTGACCACAACCTCGTGCTTACGACTGTCCGCCTCCCCCCCCGTGTCGCACCCAACCGACGAGTGCGGGGGAACAGCGGAAGCAGCCGGATCCGTATCGACCTCGAGCGGTTGAGAAAGGACAAACACCTACGGGACGCCTTCCAAAACAGGGCCTCTAGCCGCCCTCCGCCCACGGCGCTCAGGCGGCCAACGGGAGAGACCGCCGCCGAGCTGACGGCTACGGTGATGTCGGCCGCTGCTGAGACCGCGCAGCTGGTGCNGCCGGATCCGTATCGACCTCGAGCGGTTAAGGAAGGACAAACACCTACGGCTCGCCTTCCAAAACAGGGCTTCCAGCCACCCTCCGCCCACGGCGCTCTNCGAGGTGGAGAGCACTGGAAACGATCTTCGAGGGCTATGTACGGCAGCTCGAGAAGAAGAACGAGGGGGATCAGGCGGGTTTCTACAGGCACCTGATGATGATCGATGTCGAAGGGAGGAGGTCGTTCTCCTCTCAGAACATCAAGGACGAGGACGGCAAGGTCCTTCGGGACCCCACGTTTATTCGCCAACGGTGGGCACGGTGGTCCCACAAGCTTCTCAACACCAAGTCGCCGACCATCGACCTGCATGCGGCTGACAAGGTCAAGCGGTGGCCCACGTGCGTGCCACTCGACGACATACCATCTCTACTCGA